AGAACGGTGGGGGGTGGGGGAACGTGTTCCCTCCATAGAACGGTGGGGGGTGGGGGAACGTGTTCCCTCCATAGAATGGTGGGGGAACGTGTTCCCTCCATAGAATGGTGGGGGAACGTGTTCCCTTCATAGAACGGTGGGGGAACGTGTTCCCTCCATAGAACGGTGGGGGAACGTGTTCCCTCCATAGGGGGGTGGGGGAACGTGTTCGGGGTTGGGGGCCCCTCTGAGGGCCCCTCTGCTCTGTGATGCTGTGAGGACGTCGGTGTCTGCGTTCCACTAACAGCTGCTGCTCTCTCCTCCCATAACGCCGCCCCCTCAGCCCTTCCGCCATGTTTGATTATGACTTTGAGTAAGTCTGGATTTTTCTTCACTTCCTGCCTGCTCTCCGTTTGCTCTGCTGGACGCCGCCCGCTCCGCTCCGCATGCTTCCTCCTCTGCTTGCAGATGCATGCCTGCCTTCATCAGATCTTCCTGCTCTTGAACGTTTGGTTCTTCATGGTTCTGTAGTGGCTCCATCGTCTCCCCATCAGGAACCTCCTGCTGGTCCGGTGGAAACATCTAATCGGGTCACTTTGTGTTCTTTGCAGGTTTGACATGAAGGTCAACAAGAAGCCCAGAGCTGTGAGTATCCAGACGCACCTTTAAGATCCAGCAGAAGTTCTGGTTTCCTGATCCGGTCCGGTTTCTGTCCTGCAGGATTATTCCACCTGAGGAACCAGAACTCTCCGTTAGACCCACAAACTCCTGGACTTTGATGCCTGTTGTTGTCCTGTAAACATTCCCGCCTTTTATCCCGGTTCTGTCTGGACCCGCCGGATCAGAACCACTGTTTCATCAGGCCTCCTGGTCTGTATTTATTGTTTAGCGTCACATTTATGAGCCGTTTGTTTTTCAGAAAACCAATAAAAGTGTGAAACACATTTCCGCTGGTTCTGGTACTGGTTCTGGTTCTGGTTCTGGTTCTGGTTCTGAGCCTTCCGGTCCAAAGGGAGTTTGGGTTTTTCCAGATGTTATCAGTGTTTTGGTTCCTGCCTCAGGGCAGATTCTTGTCTGGCAGGAATGTCTAAGCTAACAGGAACACAAACAGACGGCAGAACCGGGTCGGTACCAGGCTCTCCACACGGTTCCCACCATCTCCTCTTCCATCCTGTTATTTTAAAGTTCTGTCCGTCCGTCAGGCTGATGTTTTATACATGAAAAGAGGAACAAAGTGGTAGAAGCTGTTAACCAGCAGGTGGCGCCAGAGATGATGGAATCGGATCTGATCTGGATCCAGGCGTTCGGGTCTCTACTGGTTCTGAGAGTATGGAAGGTGTTAAAGATGGGCTTTATGTGTCCCTCCGGTTCTTTTCCCTGAAAAGAGATTCACTCCGTAAAAACGCTTTAAATAAAACTTTATACCTTAAATATATTAAATAACCAGGAGACATGAGAACAGATTCTGATAGAAACTCTGATCTGAGATCAGGAAGCTGCTCACCTCAGGATGTCGCCTCGATTAACAGTTAAAAAGGCATTTAATGAATCTGCAGTCTGACACATCATTACATCATCACATCATCACATCGTTAAATCAAACACGTTAGCAGATGAGGAGGCCTCCATGGCTGCAGCCTTATCAAAATATTCCTCTTTGTTCTCAGCAGAAGGACGCGGATCATTTTATTCCCAGATCTTTGCCACCAACAGATATAAAAACTGGATTAATTATCGGCTCACATCCAGAGAGCAGATGACAGCAGGTAGAACGGTCCTGTTTATTTCTGAGAGGAACTTCATCATTTAAAAAGTTTTCTATTATGCAGATACTAGATCTGCACCAGAATTATTAGGAAAGTTGTATTTTTCAGGATTATTTTTATTATTGGGCCACATATGTTCTCAATCAACCCAAAGACTCCTTAATATCAAAGTTTCATATATTTGGAAGTTGATGTTTTTATTTTAGATTCATTTAATGAGGA